TTTCTGACTACAACGTCCTCCTCCACACACTCTGACTGCCATGATATTCTGCCTCATCATGGGCCCAGAATCCACTGAACCAAGGACTATCAACTAAATTCTTTGAAACTGTGAGCTAAAATAAATCTTTTCTCCCTTAAGTTGTTTACGTCAGGCATTTTGTCGCAGCGATACAAAGTCTAACTAATACACCAGGGGAAGGCAGGCTAATAAATAAATACATCAGCAGGTGATGAGTGCTGTGGTGAGAAACAAAGTTGGCAGAGGAAGGTTGGGCAGGGAGAAGAGGGAGTGGCAGGGGAATGGGGAACAGAGGGTAAGGTGGGGGAAGGGTGGTTTGCTCCTTGGGCTGTAGAACTTCCTGGCCTCTACTCTCCATCCCTGTTCCATGTTGGGAGGAGGGAAGGGTGTCCTGGAAGAGCCTGGGTGGAGGAGAAAATCCAGTAGGGAGAGTGATGCAGACACTTGTGCAAACTGGGCAGGTTGAGAGCCGGAGCAGGCTAGGTAGAGGAAGGGCTGTTTAGAGGTCCCTGATGGCCCAGTGCCAGGGTTGTCAGCCACCCACAGTTGGCTCACCCACCCAATGAACTAAGTGTGAGTGGCCTCTCTGCTCCTTCCACAGTCTCTTCCCTACTCCTTGTTCACTCCTGGCTCATTTCTGACTCCAAGCTTCTGCTCAGGTTGTTTGCATTTTCCAGAATGCTTTTCTTTACTCTGTATAGCTCAGCTTTCTTTCTTTATACACATTTGGGCTGACTTCCCACTCCTCCATGCACCTTCCTGATCAGGCATGGAAGAACAAGCATATTGCTTGCCCCTCCAGGACCCCAGCCCCAGGGAGCTCTTCCTCTTTGAATTCCCATGGAAACTGATCCTTGTGACCCTGTTGTCCATACATGGCCCTGGTGTGGTTTAGCTTGCATCCAAATATCTTTTGGTATGTCATGAAGACCTTGAATAAAACTGTGGACTTATCCCATGGTTAGGCTGATGCTTTCTTCAGGATGAGGACAGAGGTGCTTACTGTTGAAGGCTTCTGAAAATACCAATTAAGTCTTCCCCATGGGTTGTACTGAATTCTGAGTTATGTTCAAGCACTACCACCTGGTAATGGAGAAGGTGACCTTTTGGAAATAAGGGTTTTGAAGATATAATAAGATGGGGTCATATTAGATAGGGGGGACCCTAAATCCAACGACTGGTGATCTTATAAAAAGTTAGACCTACAGACACACACAGAGAAGAGGGTAACATGAAGATGGAGGCAGGGAGCTGAGTGAGGTATCTATATACCAAAGAAAGTCCAAGGGTTACCAGCCTCCCAGCACAAGGTGGGAGAGAGGCATGGGATAGCTCCAGAGCCTTCAGAAGGAACTAACCCTGCCACACCTTGGTTTCAGACTTTAAGCCATCAAGTATTTGGTCATTTGTTATAACTGAGCTAGACAGTAAAGAGAGTCCCCATAAATGTTAAGAACTTTTTTAAAATTGGGAAAAATATGCATGAAACACAAATTGAAAAACCCTAAACCATTCATCTGCATTTTAAATGAATGAGGAACATTTGACTACGTGATAAAAGTCATTCAAGAAGTAATAATCACAAAGTTTTATTTCCTAGTACATCTAGGAAGAAAGAGATGGTAGAAAAAAAGATGGGCTTGAACAAGTGAAGGTAGAAAAGAAATATAGACAGACAAAACCAAACCAAAACCACAAGAGAAGTGAGAGATAAAGAAAAGATGAATAATAAAATAAGAATAGAAGTTAGCACCAAATGAATATTTATTATAAGGTGCCAGGGCCCATGATAAGTGGAATATATTTATTGTGTAAACCCCACGACACTCCCCTTTTACAGACCGTTTAATGACGAGGAGATCGAGGCTGAGACAGTTCTGCTCTTTGCCAAAGACCATGTCGTGGCCAGGAGAACTAAGCCTGCTACAGTTGCCTTATCATGTGCCAATATAGGCAGGAGTCATCCAGATTGTTGGGGCTCTGGGGTGGCTGGCCTGAAGACTTTCAGAGGCCAGCCACAAATTGTCATTAGGGTGGTCCCTCTACTAAAGAGTGTTTTTCTCAGCCACCTGGGTAACGGAGTTGCAGAGTTAAATAATGTAGTGTTTTTTCTCTCGATAGACCATTTTTATTTTAGAATAGAGTCTGTTCATTCTGTCATCACTTTAACAAATACCTCTTTGTGCCTAGTAGTGCAAGTAACCCCAGAAAACTCAGGCTTTACGTGAGCAAAAATTGCATGGTGCTGAAAATGTATAATTATTACATGAATTGAGGCATAACTACAGTTTGTCTCCCAAATCTTTTGTTCTGACTGAATTCTGTTCTTTTTCAAGACAGGCTTGTTTGCAAAAGCAAGCACAGGAGATCTGAGCAGTTCTCAGGAGCAGTGGCTGATTGCTTCCTGAGGATGCAGCATACATTCCCAACTTGTATAATGTTGGGAGTTTCTGTTTATCCCTCTTGAAGAAATTCCTGGGTATAGTAAGAAAAAGAGTTTTTAATTGGGGGAATAGAACTGATTGAGCAAAGAGTTTTGTTATGGGGTCAGGTGCCAAGTCTTCTGGCAGGTCAGTGTGTTGACAGGAGTGAGCAAGGTCTATTGGCTGAGAAGTATGAAAATGTGATTATTCATCCTTCTTATTGAACACTTACTCAATGCATGTATATAATATCCTCAAATAATGACCCGAATAATAAATCAAGAAGGTTCTGTAATAGAACCTATTAGGAGTCAGCATAAATAATAAGCTAATGTAAAATTAAGGTATAAGACACAAATTCTAAGCAGATAATGGAAGCTTTGGTAAGAGAGTTCTTTCTTCAGTGGCTTGTTACTAAAATCCCACTGCTGTATTTATAACATGGATCTGGTTTTAGAACGATCTTCCAAAAACCATGCAAAGTTTCCATTTACAGTTAAGAGAGGTGAAGAGAGGGCAAGAGAATTTGGGTGGAAGGGACAAGGAGTGACAGGGAATGCCCCAGCAGCTCATTCTTAAGGGCAGAGGCACGAACAGTACCATTGAAAGCCACAATCAACCGACACAGCTTCTCCAGGGTCTGCTAAGTTTCAAAGATGTCTATTTAAAACCTAGAACAGACAAGACACGATCCTGCCTGGCTTCTGTATCTCTCTCAAACAACATGTCTATTCTCTGCTTTTTCTTCTCTCAGTAGCTGTAACTTAGAGGCAACCACACTGAATAGATACTGAGTTTTTAAGCAAACTTAAAAAGCTGCTGATGTTTTTCAGTGATAAATATTTAATATGTTAAATATTTCCAGTGATAAATATTTAATATAGCAAATTTAAGAAATAAGATTCAACTATCTTTTTGTTTTAAATTGTCTTACGATCAGTTTCCCATTCACAGATCTAAGATGAAAAAGACTGACATTGAAAGTATCGATCAACTAAATTTGCACATGTGCTTTTTACCTAAACTGAGATACAGTATATACGTGCAGAATAGTTCACAAAAACATTATGGTAGGGCATAAATCCAACTGCATCCTTAAGTGAAAATAATTGGAATTTTTGAGAGGAAGGAAAATGATTTACAAGTTCAAGAAGATCCACCCTCTCATCCCTGGTACTGAATCCGCAGGATGCAAAAACCAGGGATTTCTGCCAAAAGTCAGAAAAACACTTTCTTAAGGCAAAAATTTAATGAGCATTAAAATAGAAAACAGGAAGGAGAAAAAAACCCATAGACTTTTTGGTGCTCCAAATTAGACCTGTCACTATGCAATGATGGGAGAAATATCAAGCGCTCTGACCTAGAAGAGGACCTGGAAGACACAATTCTTCACCCTATTGCTAACTATGTAGGGCTGAATAATTCCATTCTTCAGTTCAAGGATAGCACACAAGTGCCTGAGCAGCTTGTCTTCTAAAAACAGAAGCAGGGAAACAGACCAGACTAATACGAACGTGTTTCATCGATGCACATTTGTCCTTAGGAAGAATTGGAAAGCAACAGAAGAAAATTGGTTTCCCTTGTCACCTTTAACCAAGGGTACTTCTAACAGTCAGTTGGGCTACTGGCCATGAAGGAAATCAGAGTTTAGTAGAAAAAGGCAATTCACATTTTGTTCCTCCTGCCTATTCTTTTTCTTCCTGCATCCTTCATCTCCAATCTCTCCCACTACCAAATCATCAGGCCATTTTTTGGGACAAATTTCTATCTCCATCCTGTCTCTCTTCCCTGTCCCACATCTCAAGCCAGACAATTTAACAACATCTTCCCTTACCACCCCTTCTTGGGCATCACAGAAAAGCAAAGGAAAGATAATTTTCTGAAGGCAGGGGCAGGTCCTACCTACAAGAGCTGGTCTAACTGGAGATAGCATGTGGGAAAATCCACTTAACTCCTGCCAGGTCTCCCTATCTTTTTGTTTGGTCTGGTGAGCAGGGTCTAGCTTGGCTGGGCTGCCAGGATGTCCCTGCAGCCAGACCACACACAAAAGTTACTGGATGGGATCTCTCTGTCATCATTTGCCTTCACAGCTGTCTACACAGAAATGAGAGGAGTTAGCATGGCTGAAAACAAAAGACAAAACACAAAATGTGAAACAGGCAACTGTTTTCACTTGCTCGCAGACAGCAGTGTTCTTACTGCTCCTCTGAATGGAAAAGTACTGCTCTGCTTTCCCCAGAACATCTCTGGATGCCATAGACGGGGCATGCTCTGTTTTTCTTTCACTGGGCCTGGGAAGATGGAAAGGAAATGGGCCTGATTCCTCAGAACCAAGTCAATTTACAGGTAGGTATTTCCAGGCAAAAGCATACAGCAAATTGCTTTCTAAGGCCTCCTGTTTGATTTGATACAAAGCAACAGTGTGAAGTATGTAGCTAAATATGGAAAACAAAAGGAATTTGTTTTCCACCAGAGACCAGATGGAAACCCCAAATGGTCCCAAAAGACTCCTCCCCACCTTCCCTGAACTGCAGAAGAAAGAATGCAGAGGCTTACCTTGAAGTTATGTGTCTTCTCATAGTTGAAGTGGTTGTCGTTGTGTGTGAGGGCAGCCCTCCGAACCAGGGAGGAGATCTGTGAACAGGCAAAGAGCTTGAGAGGGGGCCAAAGAAAGCTCCCTTTGACTCCTACCTTCACCCCCAAAGCCACAGCCAGCAGCTCTTGGCGCTTCCTGCCTGGCTTAGACTTCCGGACCACAGCACACTTTTTCTCATTTTCCAGCCACAGTTCCTGGGAGAGCATAGTGTGTTTGGATCTTTCTAGTTTCCCCTGCAGAGCCTGGGAAGCTCCGTGCCGTCAGGGTTTTCGAACCACGGCTAATGTTAGGCAGCAGATTTGAGGCAGCTGCGTCCTGTCTGCAGAGGCCTCCGGCATGTGACCTGAAAGGGCCGGTTTGAGTGATGGAGGGGCTCCTCTGAACAGGGACAGGCCTGTTTTGTGCTATTTTTTTAAGGCCAGCGTGTGCCTGGAACAATAGTACACATTCATGTGTGCAGCAGCCCAAAGAAGCAGTATCCACTCAGCCACTCAGTATCCAAGAAGGCAGGGGCAGGCGGCATTGCAAAAGAGAGACCTCTCCTACTTACTAGCACATCACTCACTCACACACACACACACACACACACACACACACACACACACACACACACACACAACTGGCTCTGATGTTCAAAGTCTGAGGCTGTACCCAATTATTCTGGGTCCCTGAGCTCCATACTGGGCTGAACGCCAGCAGATTAAATCTTAAGACCCTGATGATTGTTTAATCTTAGCGGGATAAAGCCTCATATCTTTTTTTTTTTTAATTTGCCCCAGCACTTGAAGGCTTCATCTTTATTCTTATGCATGTATTGAATTGGAACAGTCTGAATACAGACTCAGCTATCCAAGACCAAAGCATTCCAGCTCTGAGTTCTACAGGTAGAGTTACCAAACAAGAGGCAGGGTGTCTCCCCCTATCTCCCCCTTCCCCTGCAGCTCCCCCTCAAACTCACACAGAGGAGACAGTAAGTATTCTTTAACTAAAACCAAAATATGGTAGTTGTTTTTCTTTTAAACAAAACATATCTGGTGCTCATTCTCTTAATGCCTCAGCCTATCCAAAAGTTTTTTTTTGCTCTTAAAAGCATCATCCATTTGATAGCCTCCTATGGGACCATAGTTTTTGGTCCCCGGTATCTTCATTAATAGAAACAGGGAAATCGTGATGTGTTGGTAGCTCTCCCAGTCTGTTGGTAAGCTTTAATGCCAGACAGTAAAATCAATACCTTAGCAGCTAAAAAGTAAGATCACAGCTGGCGGGATGATTATGGAGATGGACCATGCCATGAATTTTATCCTGTCTGCTATGTAACATGGAGAGCCCCTCCAAGTAGCTTTGCCAACAAAATGTCAGTCCTTTCCTTGTGCCATTTTCTTTTCCCATGTGCTACCATCATTTCAATTTGATTCAGAAGTCCATTCTCCCACTTCATCTTGTTACCTCCAATCACAAATAACAGCCAAGTTTTATGTTGAGCATCAGAATTTAGGTTGCGTCAGATGATGTTCAGAATATATGAAATGCAGTTACTCCTTTAATCTCTAGCACATGGGTATGAGGGCCAAGATTTTATGCCCATTTTGTGGATGAAGATATTGAGGCACTGAGAGGTAGCTTCAATAGCATGTAGCTGGTGGCAGAACCATGACTAGAACACAAAGCATCTTCATGCACACCCAAGTTCCTAAACACTGGGTACTGCCACAACTCCTACCAGACACCTTATCTGAGATAATGGTTAATATCTCCTTATTATTGCCCCACAATAACTCATGACCCTGTTATCACTCTAGTCTTCCTTACACACAGCAGCACAATGGTCTTCCCAATCTGGTCACCACTTGCCATCTGCTCAGAAAAATGACAGTGCTTCTCCATGTCCCGAACATGTCCTGGCATTGTGGGGTTTTTGTGAACTGGTCCCAATGTGTCACTTCGTCTTATTTGTGTATTGAATTCTTTTTTTTTTCAATAAATGTAATCTATCACTAATATTCCTTTTTATGCTGACATTTTAGCTTTTCTACATTTTAATATTTTTATTAGCATGTATTGTACCTTGGTTAGGTTCATCCCCTCCATTATTCTCCTCTACTTAAATGATTTCAACTGGTTTCACTTGTATTTCTATAAAGTATATCAACCATATTCACCCTCCTTTACCCTCTCATTCACTCTCTTCTCCTTACACAAATCTTATAAAATTTGACATACTCACTTTGGTACTTTGATCTGTTTTTTAGAATATTACAGCATAATTTTAACCTGTCTACATTTTCACCAACATTCACATTCTAATCCAAATGCCACCTTCTCCGAAAAGACTTATCCATACTCTCCATTGGGGGTAAACTCTGAACTCTGAAATCCCATAGCATTTTATTCGGATTGTACTTACCACTACTGTCTTGTATTAGGCTGATTGATTCCTCTGTCATACCAAGAACACACTGTTACATGAAAGTTCCTAATTCACGTTTGTTTTCCCCTACAAGACTGTGTAGTAAGATTCCTCGCCATAGTTGCCACTAAATGAACATGAGGTTCTTGGAAAGCCCTTGCCCACATAGAAAGACAGAGCTGTGGGCAAAGGTGCCTCTATGGTGCATCGTCTCACCCCATCCTCTGGACACCTCTCCCATGCCTCAGCTACCAAGGACCGGATCCATGGTGTTCTGCTCTCCAAAAGGCTCCACTGGACTCCTTAGCCTTCCTTTCCATGTCCAAAGCTGAAGTCCAGCTGACACAGAGAGGGGTTAAGCAGAGGCTCAGCGTATTCTAGAAAGGTTTCCAGTGCTTAGCATAAAGGTAAAAAAAGGAGTCAAGGAATACAGATCCTCTCCCAAACCTTCACTGCTAGCAAATCAAGACAGACCTTTTGATGGCTAGCCATGCCCCTAAGAACAAATTCTGTGATCTGAACAAGGTGAATTGTATGGATATACAGTTTCAGAACCTGATAAACCAATTCTTTACATGGAAAGTGGTCAAAAGAGTCTCCTTTCTCTTTAGAGAAATGTGTGGTTAAATATAACAAGATTTAATATTTTCTCTTATGTCTATGCTTTTACTTGTAACAAAGTAATTTTTATTTCTATTTGTGCCAGTGATTTCTTTTTCAGACATTTATTCAGTAGTATTTATCCAAACAGAAGACACAGTCAGACACAGGCAGGAACCACACACTGTTCTCTTAAGTCTTCTTTACAGGGACTATAAGTGTTAGTGCTGGAGTGAGCCTGACAGTGAGCACTGTGCATGACCTCAGGTTACCCTTTTATTAAAGGAAAATGATCACAAAACTCTCTTGGTAAAAACCTCCCTGTTAGAGAATGTGCTCACATACAGCTCTTCTTTGTCTGAGTCCCTGAAGGACAGCTTCTTGGTCCCCTTTACATCTTCCACAATGTCAAAGGCAGTGTTCTCGATACACAGTGGACATTGAGTCCTTTTGCTGATGGTCTTCTTCTAACAGAAATTTCCATTTGACCTTTTTTTAAATGTATACATTCATGAGATGAAGCACATTTCTCTACATGTTTTGTTTAAAACCAGAGATTCTCTCTGGAATGGCTGACGTTTGGGCTCGATCGTTCTTTGTTGCCGAAGTCTGTCCTGGGCACTGTAAGATGTTTATCAGGACCCCTTGCCTCTTACTCACTAGATGTGAGTAGGGACTCCTCCCACCCCCACCTGTGAGCACTCCAAATGTCTCTAGACATGGCCAGATACTGCTTGGGAGGCAAAATTGTGCCTAGCTGAGAATACCTGGGTTAAATTAATAACAGAGAGATTTATAGCATGCTTAATGCATGCCGGGTATTGTGCCAAGCACTCACTTAAGATGTATTATGTTACAGGGTAGCTAGTCTTCTAATTACCTACATGTTACAAATGAGGACACCAGAACTGAGAGTTTAAGCCACACAGTCACACAGCTGGTAAGAGACCACTCCCCATGGACACCACTAGGTAGGCCTGTGCTTTCTCCCACTCCCCAAAACAAGGTTCTTTAACTTTCTATTGTGGTAAAATACATAGGACATAAACCTACCACTTTAAAGTAGAACATTCAGTGGCATTTAGTACATTCTTAATGTTGTACAACCATTACCACAATCTAGTTCTAGAATATTCTATCACCCCAAAATGAACTGTGTACCCATCAGCAGTCTCCTCCTAATCTCTTCTCCCCTCAGCCTGTGGCAATCGCCAATGTGCTTTCTGTCTCCCTAAATTTGCCCATTCTGAATATTTCGTATAAAGGGAATCACACAATACATGGCCTTTTGTGTCTGACTTCTTTCACTTTGTATAATGTTTTTGTTTCTTTTATGTTGTAGCATGGATCAGAAGCTCATTCTTTTTTATGGCTGAATAATAATAAATTGCACGAATATACCATATTTTATCGATCTACTCATCAGTTAATGGACATTTAGATTTTTTATTTTACCTTTTGACTATTGCAAATAGTGCTACTAAGAACATTCTTCCACAAGTTTTGTTTTAGTACTTGTTTTTAATTCTTCTGTGTGTACACTAAATAAATGTTGCTTTTCATCCCAATAACATTCAATTTAAAAATACCCACAGCTGAATACTAGAATTCCTCTCTTCCTCACTATTAGCTTGTACTAGCAGAGCTGGTATTCCCTGGACAGTTTGTAAAGGGGGATTTTAGCCCTCCCCGTGTCCTCTGTGGAAGCAGGGCCTTCTATAGGTACTATGGGAAGCAGGTGGTGCTATAAAAATGACAAAATAAACTCACCACTTCCTTCTCCTTTCTATTTTTCCCTATAAATAAGGGTTGGGATCCTATTTTTAAGACCTTTCACTGTTTTGCTTTTTCTCTCTGATGATGATTCTGGATCCAAGCAGGACTCAGGTAAGAAGAAGGCAATGAAAGGTTGTCAGATGAAGGCAAGTAGGAAAGGATGGGTGAATGTGTAAGATGACAGCAGAAGGCACAGCATCCCAGGGGAATGAAGCCCTCTGGGTTGCCTGTGCTCATGTGGAGTGCCCAGGAAAA